CCCACAAAGGAGAAATTTACAAGTTTGGTGAATTCCCACACCTACAACAGGTAAGAACAAAAACTTTCTCAAATTTGATTGTTGTTAATGAAAGATTAAATCACAAAAACATGTAAACACATGAACATAAACCACTTTGTAAAAAATGTTTATAAGAGACATGTAATAACTTTGTTATTCAAGTAATTATTTACATTATAAACCCACAGGATAGGCAATTATCTTTGATATCTTTCATAGTTAAGTTATTATTCACAAGTGAATTACTGGATTCTGAGGCGTGTCTCACAGTGAGTCATGAATTCTCTCTCAATGCTGTGTTGCCCTTGTTTTTACAATTTACTTTCCTGAAATGATCTACACTCACATAAATTACGGTACTGATAAACTTGTAGATAATGTCACAGTACGTCCCCAGTCTAGGGGAACCAAGACACAACATGATAAGTGACACCCACTCTTCCCACTCCCAAGAAAACCAGCAGTCCAGGTCACTTCAGATTGAACACAGCAGTTTTATTCATTTTTAGGGCAGAGAATGGTCCGAAAACAAAAATCAAAAAGACTAACAACACCCTAGTCTTTCCTAACATGAAAAGAAAGTAAACAAAATGACAAATCTCTTGCCTATTCCACTAACATAAAAACAGGAGAAAAAGTAGTGAACAAAACAATAGGGATCTTCATTCTCATCACTGCTGTGTGGTGCATACATATTTACAGTTTACACTTGTAGCAACAATACACTATTTGATTTAACACAAACAAACAATCCTCCAAGTACACAACAACTGAAAACAAGTTCTGGCCGACACAATACAAAAAGATTCTGTAAACCGGCTGGCTTTGGTGGCAGTGGCAAGAGAAGCCCAGACTGCAGCAGCGTAGTTTTAAAACTGGTTCGACCAATCCGGTTGCGGCAAATCTCCTTTCCTCCCTCCATTCAGCAGCAGCCTCTGCATCACCATCTGATCCATCTAAACACACACCCACTGACAGACACACTGCTGGGGAGGAGACAAGGCTGCACATTTCATTAAAAGATTATTAATACAGAAATATGACTCAGGGTCATGTCAATAAACAAATAGAAATCAGTTTGGGGAATGAGCCCCATCTCAGACAGACAATAACAAAAACTAAAACAACAAAAGTTCATCAGAAAATGTACCTCTAACATTCATAAAATATTAAGTCACTTAAAAATATATTTCACTTAGGTACAAAACAACTTGAGCCACGCAATTGGTTTGTAAAATCAAAATAATTCAGACATACTTAGAACTGCATTACAGGACTGGCATTTACCATTTGATTGTCATTTGTCTATTTATGTAGTCTGTGTCAGACTCCAACACAGTTCATCACCTGTTTTTCAAGTGGTTTGCAGTGCTTGTGCTTGTGCAGCACATGTTTGTACATTTACCACCCTAGTTTTCATACTGGATATCGTAAGCAATAGGTCCCTTGATTGCAAAACCAAGGTAGAAAGAAACCTTTTCTGTACTGAAACCGCCACTAACACGATGAACGAGAGCTGGGCGCACAGGGATTTTCAGTTTTCCATAATTGGCAAACACCTCCCCCTGCTCGATGCTTCCTCTGACTCGCTGAAGACGGTTGATAATTGTTTTGTCTTTAAAAATATCGCCATTCCGCCAGAGTTGTGCCAAGGTTTCACGGTGCATCTTCTTGAAGTTCTCATCGAGTTGGGGTTTAGAAACAAGCCTCTTGAGTCCTTTTTCTTTTCCCAAGTAGAGATGGGCAACTGTGCTCCTTTTTTGAAACAATGGAGTCAGGTATTTGCGGGTTGAGTTCCGAATTGCTGTAACATAAGTTGCAATTTCAGTATCTTCCTCAGTTGTCCTTGGCCAGAACAACAGCAGAGCCAGGTAGTATGGGTCTGGGAAGGGATATCTAAGTCCTACATCTTGCAAAGTTGTTGAAAGTAGGTCTGAGAGGGAGTCGATACTCTTTACATGTTTAGAGTTTGGTTTCAAAAGGTAAAGAACTATGTTTGACAGAATGCAATTGATTGTTTCCTTTGTCTTTTGCTTTTTGTCGTTTAATTGGTGATGTTGTTTTTGCAAATATGCATAGCATTCTGTGATCCTCTCGATCTCCTCTGCAGGTTTGTCCAAATGCTGAAGAATCCCACAAATGTGTCTGCTTGGTTCTTCTCAAGAAACAATCTTTGTTCCTCAATATTGATTTTCAAATTCAGATTAGGGTTGTTTTGTTGTTCTTTTTTCATTTCCTTTGGTGTATTGCAGAAGAGACTAACATAGTGTTTAAAAAGAGAAGAAATCTTTCTTTGGAATTCTGGGTAGCGTCCCTTCATATATGTGAAGAAAGAGTCAAGAAGTTCAAAAGTTTCTTTTACCTCAGCTTTCAAATTTTGAAGAAAACGTTCATGTTCTTTGATGATCTCCTCATAGATGTTATTTCTCTCATTGTCCTCCTTATACACACTGGTGATTGGGATTGCTTTTTTAAGGAAGCGCTGGAAGTACATCTTCTTCATTGGATCACTTTGATCAAAGAATGGCAATCTGCTCAATATCTCAAAGACCAGGAATGCAATTTCCAGCACACCAACGTAGCCCTGAACATGATATGACTTTTGTGGAAAGTCATCCGACTCATCAACAGCCTTCTCCTCAGGTTCCTCCTCAGGTTCCTCCTCAGGTTCCTCCTCTGAGTCTGCCAGCTCTTGAGCCTTTTTGAATGCTGTGATAGCATTGCTTGCTATTTTAATGTTTGTGTTTAAGTCCTCTGGATTGCAAGAAGTCTCCTGTTTTCCCCTATCGTTGTTTGATTTTAAGTTGCTTTTGTGAATCTGCCCTATTGTGTCAAACGTGTACGGGTTTGCTTTAATGTTCTTGGCCTTTTCAGCCCATTTCAGAGCTTCTGGGAAGTCATGCTCTTTGATGTACAAATACCTTGCCAGTGCCTGAGGAATAGATAAACTTTTCTCGAACCTTGTTGATGCTTTCACAAAGATCTGTTGAACAGTTTGTCTCCCTTGCTCACTGTGAATTTTGTCGATCAGAGGAGAAAATGGTTCCCTGACAAACCATCCTTCTTTTGCTGCCTTGCAATCAACATTTGTTGAATTGAGTCCATGAATCTTTTTTGACAACTCAATGCTGAAGAACAGATCACAATGTAGAATCTCTATGGTGATATCACTCACTTTTAAAGAGTGGCTTCTCTCAAACTCCTCTAAGCATGCAGATGCTATGGAGCTGTGAAGGATTCGGATTCCTTCATATACTCCCATTCTTCAACTCTGTCAATGATGAGAAGGTTTGAGAAAGGCTCCATTCTGTCCAGTGCACTTTCCTCTTGCCAGCGAATCCTTTTCATACAAGAAAATCTTCACAGAGAGAGCGAGAGATTTCTGATTCTGCACATAGCTGTTAAGTAATGCTAAGAAGGAAAAAAGTTTGGCATTCTTTGAGCTGAAATCAAAGTTCTCCAGAGTGTTATGAACAAGATCGTCAATGTATTTTTTGTCAAAATTGCTCTTCATGATCATGAAACTGTAAAAGTTTTCAGGTGTATCATGTGTTTCTCTCAGCTCATTGAGTTTCTTTTCAAACTCATTCTGTTCTTCTGGTGACAATGAGGCAGTTATGTACTGACTTGGGTTGTGCCGTCTGTATGAATCTTTTGGATTTTGGGAACGAACACAGTTAAGGATGATGACTTTACAACTTTGTGCCTTATCCACATTTATGTTAGAGTGAGACTCTACTGTTTGAGGGATGCAGTTACAAAGTTTGTAAGGATTCTCTGTTTCCTTTGAGTCATCAATTAAAAGGAAAACTTGACATGGTTTCTCGTTTTCGAGCTTCATGAGTTTGACAACTTGGACAGCAACTTCTGTCATTGGCAGTGAATTGTCTTTCAGCACAGCACATCTAATCTCTTTACGGAGATCCCACATGACATGCATTGCTAAAGTGGTTCCACCACAGCCTGGATTGTGAAACAGATTGAGCAGAACACACATTTCTTTTGACTCTCTCAACTCACTCCTGATCATCCTTTTCAAATTTTCATACTTGTCTCTCTTGATAAATGGTTTCTGTTTGTCTTTGTCACAGAAGAAGAAGTTCCACCATTTGACTTTGCCTCCCCTGTAGAATTCCTCCTCAACTTTTGTTCTTTTGTCATTAAACTCTGGACTTTTATCTTCGTAGATATTTTCACACTGGTTCAGACACAAAATGTCCAAAGCTGTCAATAAGTCTTCATCCTTATTTTTTAGAACGACAAAGCTGGAGTCAGAGGAAGGAAGCAGCCTTTCAGATGACTCACTGAATGGTCTTAGAGCCAGTACTGTTCCATTGACCTCACTGAGGCTCAGCTCATATACTGATTGTGGGTCAATGTCAAAGTCCAACTTTTCTTGTATCAGTTCCTTCCATTTCTCATATGTGCTCTGAGATTCACAAATATGAATGATCATTTCTTCTTCAATGTGCTTCATGAAAGCCTTGTAGGTGTCACAGATGGGATCTTTTTCTGAGTCTACAGGTGAAAGAAGAAGGAACATGATGAGACTTCTTCCATGGAGAAAAACTTCAGGGTTGCAAATGAATGAAACCAGTTGCTCGACATCGCTGCAAGATTTCCTCAGCCAGTTCCAATAGTTTAACTCCTTGTTTGAGTCACCTTCAAGGTCATGTCTCCCATTGCAGAAGACCCAGCTGGTCTGTTTGTAGAGGTTAAGGTTCTTTATGACTGAGTCAATCTGTCCTTGATACTGTGAGGGGGTGTGAAGATTGGCCCACCTTGACTCTCTGTATGAATGGCACAGTCCAACCTGAGTATTGGAGTCTGGGTCAAAGTCTAACACACAGAAAAGTTTCAGTTTATTCAGAAACTTGAGATACTGCACTTGCTCTGGACTGCTCTTGTTTACAACAATAATCATGTTGTCGTAGTTGTCTAATGAGTTCCCACCACAAGTCAACAAGTTTTTCAGTTTTCACCCTGGTTGGCTTCTTTCTTCTTATCTCTCGAAAGAAGATGCTGCTCCAGTCCACCTGTATTAGAAGTAAAATAAATGAGTAATTTAGTAAACAATGCAATGTGTATTTATTTTTTACTGTTGAATATTTTGAGCAACTAAATGCAAATTCATTATTTAAATTCATTTTTACATTGGTGGTCTTACCCATGGTGTTTTCAAGCTGATTAGCACGTTCACATTGATTGATTTCCCGTAGAACATCTACTGTGACTCTCACAGCCCCATTGCTCTCATAGTGGTCAGTCATTAATTGAGCAGTGTCCATGGTGTCCTTGCCCTCCAGTTTACTCTCACGAATAGGTTGAAACTGGGATGTTTTGTATTGTTTTAGGTGAAAATGAAACTTTTTAAAGTCTTCTTTTTTAAGGTTATCCAGGGTTTCCTGGATCACCACAGTTTATTGGGAACTCCCGGAAGGACTGAGGTCTGCAGGAAGAACCAAAAGTACATATTTAAGGCCTGATTTACTAAAATACCTGGTAAAGAAATAGCCTGTTCATTCAAACAAATTGCACATTTTAAAAAAACAGAAAAAACAGATTTGCACGTTTGGTTGGTGCGCTTTGCTGGTGATTAACTAAATAAAAAGCGTTTATGATAACAGTTGCACAGGTTGTGGAGGCAGTAGTATTGAAATTAGGCTTTTGTGAGTTTTACGTCATTGAGAGTTTGGACGTAAGCAGAGAGACGTAAGCGCAAGATTAAATTCAGTCCAATTTGATTAGAGGTACAGTATGTGGAAGAGGCACATAAACATATGTTAAAATTACAGAAAATCTCAATATTACAAAAATAAACATGATATGGGAAAATAGAACTGAAAGAGTTAATGCTGTTGGTAAAACATGTGTAAATATGTGTAAAACAATGGAGACAATTTACCACCACGGTTTCTTTCCTTCTGGCTTTGAAGTTTTGTGGCTTTGGCTCATCAATCTTCTTCTCCTCTGAAGCTTTCTTGAATTGCTGTTGAGCCTTTCCAGACTTCTTTCCTAACATTTTGTCCGCTTGCACTTCAGTTGTGTTGAACGGTTCTGCTGGATCCGATGCTACCGTCTGAGCCACACTGACTTCCGGTTGAATGGGGTTTGGAGCTTCTTTTTGTTCATTATGAGGGATGGGTTGCAGAGTCGGCTCTTGGTCTTTGCTCAGTTGTCTGAGATTTGACAGAATCTTAACAGCAGGGCCACTTTTGACTTCCAGGTCCAGAAGATCTTGCTTCTTGAAACAAACAAGGCAATCTCCAGACACATCTTCTTCTTGGAGCCGTATAGCATATTTGCTGTAAGCATTCACATGCTGCAGTAACCACTGGTGCACTTGCTCCTTCGTCCAATTTTCCACATAAGCTGGGAACTGATCACGTTGTAAACCATCTCTTAGACTTTCAAGATAAGATATTATTTTGACAGCAGGACCATGTTTTATTCCCAAGTCCAATATATCTGTCTTTTTAAAGGCAACTAAAGAGTCTCCTGACACTTCTTCTTCAACAAACCTGTCTGCACATGTCTTGTGTACTTTGACCTCTGTCATCAGCCACCGATGGACGTCTTCCTCTGTCCATTTCTCAATTTCAGCAATTGGCTGAGTTCTTGAGCGCCTCATTTTTAATCATCTGAAAAGATTAAACAGTTAAGTGATATATTTAGTGATATAATATTATATTACCATATTCATCAATATAAAAGAAATAAGATATATCAATAAAATAAAATCAACCCAGCAACAGACTAAAGCAGGGGTTCTCCACTGGTATGGCTTCGGAACCTGCCACCACCCCTAAATGACCAGCGCAACCCAAATTGGTGAACATTGTCAACGCTCATATTTATTTAATGAATAAATGGTGCACTTTGGATCTGTAACAGTACAAAACATCAAAGTATGCCAATCTATAAACAAACAATGGTTTAATTGTCAACCAAAATGACCAGCAGGTGGCAGCACTGAAGAGGAAAATATTCCTCATCAAGTAAATTATCAGAATCGTCATATAATCGATTAGAAAATCCATATTTCATGTAGTCAATGTCATATTTGCATTTTGCCATGACAAATTAGCAGCAGTGTAAAAACCAAAGACTGTACATTTTATTGCACGAAGCCTGAGTGGCGTCAGCCATCTGTTACGGCAGGGAGCTATGGAGTCCCAAGCTCAGAGCTGGAGCTGAGGCAGGTTTTAAAGCTTCTTGAAGAACCGTTACACCGTGCCGACCTGCCAATCATGTCAGCTATGCGCTTTACTATGTATAACAGGTATCATTAATAAAATCAAAACGGAGCCATTTAAAAAAGAAAAAATAACCCCTGTTCAGTGTGTGCCAGTGATGATTATAACTTTTGAAAATTTCTAAAAACTAGAGAATCAACTTTCATCACTAGAAGTACACTGGTTTACACAAGTCTTTGTTTTGATAGGGACTGCAGATGTCAACTAGCTCTAAGCTTAAAAAAAAACAACTAATCAGAACTATTATATACTATAAACATGTTAATCTCTGCTGTAAAAACAGGCTTTTTGAATGGTGTGTATGTGACTTCCTGTGCTTCTGTGGCAGCCTCTAGTGGACACTCG